TTTGTAGTAGAAAGAGGGCCTGAGACATAAGGCCTTGTATCAAAGGCCTGGTCTGAGGCCTGGGCTAAAGTAGGGGTCAAAGCTTTGCTGCTATAAATAGGGTTGCCAACTTTCGAATTGCACAAAACCAAACACCCTTGCCCCGCCCCTTCGCTGAAGCCCCACCCCCCACTCACTCCAGCCCCCCTCCATCCATCGCTCACTCTCCCCCACCTTCACTCACTTTCACTGGGCTGGGGCAGGGGTGCGGGAGGGGGTGAGTGCTCTGGCTGGGGAGTGCGGGCTTTGGGGTGAGGCCAGAAATGAGGGGTTCAGGGTGCGGGAGGGGGCTCTGGGCTGGGCAAGGGGTTGGGGTGCGGGAGGGGGTGCAAGCTCCAGCTAGGAGTGTTGGCTCTGAGGTGGGGCCAGGGCCGAGGGGTTTGGAGTGTGGGAGGAGGCTCAGGGCTGGGGCAGGGGGTTGGGGTAAGGGGTGTGGGCTCCAGGAGGGAGTTTGGGTATGGGAGGGGGCTCAGGGCTGCGGTCAGGGGTTGGGGTGCGGGAGGAGATGTGGGCTCTGGGAAGGGGCTCAGGCTGGGGTGTGGGTGCAGGGGCTGGGAAGGAGTTAGAGTGTGGGAGGGGTTCTGACCTGGGGCAGGGAGTTCACGATGTGGGCTCTTGCCAGGTGGTGCTTACCTCAGGCAGCTCCTGGTTGGCAGTGCAGCGGGGTAAGGCAGGCTCCCTGCCTACCCTGGCTCTGCGCTGCTTCTGGAAGCAGTCGGCATGTCCAGCCCTAGGCGGTGGCGTGGCCAAGGGGCTCTGCGCAGTGCGCGCTGCCCACACCTGCAAGCACCACCCCTGCAGCTCCCACTGGTTGCAATTCCTGGTCAATTGGAGCTGCAGAGCCAGCACTCAAGGCGGGGGCAGCGCACAGAGCCTCCCTGGCCGCCCCTGCACCTAGGGGGCCGCAGGGACATGCCAGCCCCTTCCGGGAGCTGCGCGGACCAATGGCAGGCGGGAGTCTGCCTTAGCCCTGCTGCGCCACCGACCCGACTTTTAACGGCCCAGTCAGCAGTGCTGGCCGGAACCACCAGGGTCCCTTTTCGACCGGGCATTCCGGTCAAAAACCAGACGCCTTGCAAACCTAGGTATAAAGCAAAGTTAAGTTGTGAGCAAGAGGCAGGCCCTGCTCACAGAATCTGGCAAGAATAGGGCTGATATTGAAGAAACATATATTCCTAAGTAGTGCTAGGTACAAGAATATACATGCAAACACATTCCAAAAGGGTGGTACCAGAACACCCCAATACTAGTACATTTCCCAAAGATAACAGGAACACGCTGACCCATCTTAAAGATAAGGTCATGATGACAGCATGATGGGTAGAGATATTTTGATTAAACCAATAGGTACAAGACAATGGGTGGTACCCAAATATGTCAGAGGGTGACACCTAGATACGCCACAGGAGCAATACATAACTTGTTTGTATTGGTGTATAAAGAGGTTATCTCAGAGGGAGTGTCTTTGGCCAGCCGAGAGGGATAGTGGAAAGTCCCATCACTAACTGAGCTGCGTCCATTGTCACAGGTATACATGCACTGAGTGTACTTGTAGCAAGTATAAGACACCAATACCGTGCTTCATCAACAATAAACCTGACCAAGTTCCTTCGCTACGAACTGAGTCTGTGGTTATTGGGCAGCTCAATCAAAGTCTGCTATCTCCGCTATCTGTGCAGAGCTTGGACACCATGCTGAAAGAACACACGCAGCCAAACATCGGACCACAGTATTTAATAAAGACCTGGCCATAGGGAAGATCAGAAATACTACATGTGGATTTACTGTTAAAAAAGAAAAAATGTTTCTTTTCAACCAATACATATTCCTGAAGGTTCTATTTTAAAGAAAACAAAGTATGGATGGATATTTTTGTTTTTACCTTGATATGCATCTTGGCTCTTTTCAACAGACTTAGAGTGGTGTGTCTGGTGCTATCTGGCCCAAGAGGCACAAGCTGTTTTAGCTGCTCCAAATATAGCCGGAGTTTAGCTCGTCTGAAATTATTAAAAATGAAGAATGTTGTAGAAAAGTTACTCTGTGATAGCATATCCTGTATACAAACACCATCTGCTTGCCTGGATTTCTGTATAGAAGTTGATTCAACAGCAATGGCTTCCTTTCCTCTCCCTTTGTCAAAGCTTCAGGTCACTTGAAATAATAATAGCTGGCACTTCTGTAGTGCTTTTCAGATCTAGATCTCAAAGCAGTTTGCAAGCTTGAATATGAATCATTATCCCCATTTTAGAGAGAGGGAAACAAAAACAGAGATGTGGATTAATTTGGCCAAGGCCGCAAAGGGAGTCAGTGGCAGAGCCAGGAAGGGAAAACGGGCTCAACCCAACTGCTATTCGTGTCAGAGTGAGTTTTTCAATTGACTTAAATGGGAATTGGATCAAGCACTATGTCTCCTGATGCCCTATCTACTGGGAAAATATATCCATCCAAAAATATATATATATGTTCCATCTTTCATCACACATCAAGAATGGTGTTTGCAGTAAAAACAAAAGGGGAAAATTAGGAGTTACAACTATGGCATATTCTGTCATGTTTACTACACTATTCCTTCGTAAGTAGCACTTCTAGCTATTACAATTTGCCTCCTACATTAAACAACACCCAGTCCAGCAGTAAAAAGAAAGATGATAAACATCTATAAGCTGGTATTCTGTGTGTGTTTTTAAAGCATTCTGTGTTTTCTTTCACCAACTGGCTGGCAGTAGACACACAAAATAGTTTGTGAAATATTTTTACTTTAGAACCCTAAAACAAAGCAAGTGATAAAACAAAACATTCCAAGAGTATAGTTCTGCATTTAAAAAAAAATACTTCCTACTTTTTTGTATATACAACTGAACAAGAAGCAATATGAAGTTTCCATGTGTCTTTATAATGAAGTGGATAACTAAGTGATTACTTAAGCAATGTTTGTAATCTTGTGCTCTTTTCTGTCAGTCTTATCTCAGTGAGAAATTAAAATCAGCATTCTTCATATGTATTAGCATGAATGGGCCTTTTTAACATCAGAGAAGATTAGTCTTAATAGACTGATGATCCTAAAGCTGCCTAAGACCCCCCCCAGAAGCAATAATAATAAAATAATAATAATTAATAAAGAAAATTACAAATATGCCATAAATAATCATTTTCTGCAAAGATACAACTTTTCATTTCAAGTCTGCTACATGCTGCAGTACATCAAACAATTTAGCATGGTAATTATTGACTTCTGAACAAAAATTGCTGATACTTTGCTTTCTTTTTTTTATTACTATTTAGAACAAGTGTTCGACATCAACATTTAACAGAGGTTAAGACAATTTATTAATGCATAAAAGGCCATGCAGAAGACAGAAGACAAACATGTAGACAAACAATTTTTTTAACTTTTTATGACAGATGAACTATGAAAATACAGATAATTGCAAAACATACGACGTCTATAATACTGCATGTCTGACTACATATATCACACTCGTTAGTTAATCTCTATGCAATCAATAACAATTAACATATAACATATCAATAATTGCTACAATAAGTGTGAATTAAAATGGCATAATTGTAAAAAGTGCTAATATGAGATCATTTTTCCTCCTTCAGCCAATCAGGAAAGGAGCACACTGTTGAAAAATGTGATGTTTTTGGAGAAAGATCACCACACGACTTCCTGTCTGTGCATGGGGTCTTGTATTGAAATACAAGGCTTTACATTCGTAATCTAAACTTTAAAAATGGAAAAAGATCCCATGAATAGGGCCATATTCAACAACCTGCTCAAGCACATGCCTAACTCTAAACAAGAGCAGCCCATTGCACAGGAATACTTAAGCAGCTTGCAGAGTCAGGGCCCGGATTCTGATCTTTAACACGATCTGAAAGGTTAAATAACATTATTAGAATCTACAAATGCAGAAACTTTCAACCCGGGAGATTTATTATCTATACATCTATAACCTCTAAAAAGTGTCTGAGGGTTTTGTTTTGTTTTTTGAATTACCAATTTGCTTCTTGGATGAAACTAGGAGAAACGTTTTCAAAAGGGAAATTTTCTAAATTTGCACACAATCATTTGTGTGTACAATCAGCAGTCTTTAGATGCAGTAGCAGGATTTTTGCACATACATCAGGAGAGTGGAGATTAAGGAAGCAGCAGCAATGAAGCGGATGAGAATAGAACACAAAGTGGTGCAGTAAAAAGGTAAATAAACTGTACTATAGCAATCAATACATTAAGAGCAGCTAAATTATGTAGAAATATACAGGACTGTTAATAAATGGGATTTGTATTGTTAATCCAGAAAAACTCATATAAAAATGCAACCTTCTTACTAAGCTTACTTGCTCTCTGAGTGCTCAGAGACATGTCTGCTGACTTTAGTGACAAAATAAGGTTTTACAACTCTTCAGCCTGAAGAGCTTTAAAACAAATAGAAATTAAACACACACAAATTCCAGTGGAAATAGTTTTATCTATTTATTTATTTGTAAAGCATCTATTCCTCTGTATTATGTGCAACTCAGAGATTGCAGCATTTGTGCATAGTAACCAGAAAGAGAAACTGGCAGAAACTGACTAGACTATTTTCACTGATCACGGTGAGAAAAATACAAAAAGACAAATGACCTTAGCAGTGATAAATATATTACACTTTTAAAATGTCTTCACTTTTAATAATCTTGATAAGTATTCCAAAGAGTGCATACGTTCAGACCCAGCTCCACATAAATGAGATTCTAACTGGTTGGAAACCGACTTAATGCCTGGAAGTTGGGATTCCCTTAAACTGATTTCTAATGTATTCGATATACACATATTCCTGATGCTAAAAGGTTAAACTGTTCTGACAAATGTGCATACATGTTTACATAAAACAAAGGTAAAGCAATGACCCCAGGTCTGAAAAGGCCAAGTGTACATGGCTTTTCAATATCTATGTTATGAACAGCTCTACCTTTCCAATCTCCTGGGCAAGGAACATCAGTTGAAGAATTGTGTAAATCCATATTATGGATGGCTTTTCACGTAATTCAGCCATAAATGTTTCGCATACAAATCTGAGTACAAACTGTGTGTGCATATGACCAAGGACAAATATATTACCTGTTGTCATGTGAACAAGTTCATGCAAACATCGGGTTTAGATAATTGCAATGAAACAGATTGTTCTTACCAAGTGTCAGAACTGAAAAAACAATTATTAAATTAAATTCCAGGTTTCATAAAAAAAACAACACAAAGAACTCCAAACACTATTCAGCCAGCAATTTGGTTATTTATATGCACTGAGTGACAGCATTATTGGGAAAATTTTCCAATCTTTTAAAAAAACTGGCTCAGCTAAATCAACTTCAAAATCAGGTTAGAGCCACAGTGTACACCTGGTTTTAGGTAATTTGTGGTGGCCTGAGCTGTTTTTACTAAACTGCTTTCAAGACCACTTCAACTCTGGAAACTGGTTCTGTCAAAATGGGTCAGGCCCTTTAGGCTGGGTCTACACCTTGGCTCTAAACAATTTTAAAATTGGTTTAATCGAACAAAGTTTTTTAAGTGTTTAGTAAATTCTCCCAGTGTACATGGGCCCAAAATCTAAAAAACATGTCTTTTTAGCACATCAAGCAGTAGGATATTAGACTAAGCAGAAGAAAAGTCTTGTGTATGCTAGAGAAATCTGTGATTCCAAGAACTTGTTTTACCACTGGAATGCTGGTAAAACACTTCAGGTTTAAGAACTACTGTAGTTCCAACTGTTTCAGTCTGATCCATTTTAGTGCCAGTGTGGATGTGGACTAGCTGAAATGGTTCAATTAGTCCTCCACTGTCCCAACCTACAACATGGGCTTTTTGAAATGTCCCGAAATCTACTGCTTCTGGGAAATATTCTGGGAACTGCGAGATACCTGTGGGACAGAGGAGGAGTCAGAGTGCATTGCAAACAAAATGGTTTAGAAGAGCACTAATGAGGGCAAGAGACACAAATTTGCAATGGGTTTTAAATTAAAGATTGGACACAATGAACCTTTTATGCTTAAGCTAGTCCTAACCAACTGGTTCAATTTTCTAGTCCAGACAGAGCCTTAGAGTGTACTCGAAGGACCAAATTCTGCCCTTGTTTGCCTGCAATGCACCCATATGTTTTGGTACAGAAAACTTTGCTTTAAAGAGGATGGAGTTATTGCAGACAATGTGGATGAACAAAGAACTCAAAATGTAGCTCTGGGAAACAATACTATACAACTACCGAACTCTGGATAATAGTACTGTATTTGTCAAGCTAATTCAAGTCCCTCCTCTTAGGTATTAACCTATTTTTTCCACACTTAAAGCCTGCCGCAATCCTATATAATGACATGAGATTCACTAAAAGGGACTGTGTTACAACAATGTGAACTTGGTCACATTGAAAATATGTAGTATGTTTATTCCTTGTTAAATGTAACTTCATATAATTTTATTTAAAATACAGGCCACCTTTAGAAATCATTTGTGGAATGTTTACCTTGTAATGACTTATGGGCCAATCCTAAAGAGTTAAGCCAGTAGGAGTTTACATGTTGCAGGATCAGGCCTTTTCTTCATTGAACCACTGTGCCTGCTCCTGCAGTTAACATCTTTTTAATTAATACAGTTATCGTTCTGTATAGCAACTAATATTTTACACCTGGTCACACTGTGTGTATTGTGCTAAAGGTTTTGCTGTAAATTGCCTTACTCTTTCTGTGTGTATATGTGTGTGTGTTTTACTATCTGCCTAAAGATAGGCATGTGCTCAAGGGCACTGATGAATGAGGGCCTTAATTCCTATTAAATTCTATAACACTTTTCCTTAAAGGAGAGGTTTCAAATATATCCTATTTATGGCTCTAATGATATTTTTACAGGCTAATTAAAGTTATTTTGTGCCTATGAAAATATAAAGTTATCTTTGTTTAAAGTAGTCTGTAAGTAAAAGGAAAGCATCAATCAATGCTAATAAGAAATGTTTCTAGAGAA